AAACTTATTAGTTTCTCTCTTTAGTATTTGGATACTTAATATTCTTCTTTTCTCGTTTTTTATTCGTATCAAAAACTGAGAGAATACGATATGTTTACCAGTATTCTAGGACAATTAATCAAGACATTTCCGAACTATATAATAAATAGAATTATTAGAGAATAGAATTATACCTCATTATATTATATAATGACGAAAGAAGATGAGAATAAATAATTTAGAAGAATAAAACACACTTCTAACTCACATTCTCAAGGAAAAAAAGGCAGTTAAATAAAAAAACAAAAAAAAAAAATTAAAATTCATTTTGAACCGAGAAAAATAGTAGCAAAGATACTAATTCAAAAATTTTTTACTCAGTCTAGAACGTATGCCTAAATTCTTGAAAGAGCTAGTGCTTATAGTGCTAATCATTTACCTTATTATTTCCGCCATATTTGATTATCTTCTATTCAGTTTACAAGTAACGTTAAGACTATAACTGAAAGATAACAAACATCGCTAATTCTAATTGTATTTTCTCTAAATAGTATTTTTGACTCCCTCCCTAAGAAAACACATACACACATGTTAATGTTTTTTAGTTTTGTTATTGTACACTGAGATATGACTGATAACGTCTTTATTCTTTTCCTATGTCTTTGTGTTAAATTAGCAATGTAAAAGACAAAAAATATTATTACTATTATTAGAGAAGTGTGAAAAATATATATCTTTCTCTCTTTCATTATGTGGTGATAACACGGTTCGTTATTTTTATCACCAAATATAGGAAAAATACAAAAAAATATATTATATTGTAGTCCAATAATAGCAACAACGAATTTAAAGCAATTATCTTATTTCCTATATATATATTCGATACTTATTCTTCAAGATTAACATTCTGTAATGAATACGCTTTCTTAAATCGTAGTGTATTTCATTTGATGATGTAATTGTCACAAATCATCTTAATCTGTTTTTCATATTTACCTGGTTACGTAAACTATATGCACAATGGTTTATGACACATAGATGCCTGATTTTTGATTTTCATTTCAGTCTTTGAAATAAAAAATGGTATATATTTCATAACATTAGCCTATAGTTTTCCAGATTTTTCGGATAAAATAAATCTTGTAAATAGTAAGAACTACTTTCTGACACTTATATCTGGAAGAACTGTGAGAAAACTAAACATTTCAAGTTCGAATTTTTACTGTGAATGTGTTATAGGCTGTACTAATGTACTAGAGCTGTATGTACTGTATAGAACTAATATTCGCTTGAAATTTGGTTATGATCGAATATTTCCTATCGAAAATATGGTGATTCAAGCGTCCTGTGGATACACTAAAACAGATTCTATATCTTGAAAAATAAGAAGTGTTTCAATGATAATTAATGTAAAAGATTGACATAGTCGATTAATATTACTTTGAATATCAATTTTTGAAGTTTCATCTCATTGATCGTTCGGATGCCTTTTGATCGAAAAGCAAAATCGATGGATATAAAATTAAAATGGATTAGGAAATCATCACTCTGATATTTATTTAATTATACACACGGTTTGACAATATATATATATATTTTCTATATTTGATTAAAATAATATAGAGCATTGTCTGTATATCTGGCTTAAAAATCATAAGACCAACTTATTTGTTTTGGTAGATTATAACTCAATTACTCTTATGAATATGTGCAAAATTGGGTTATGAATAAGCTTCTTATAAAAGTGAATAACAGCATACGGCAGCATACGGCAACCATATAGCTTTTAATAAGTAGTCAAATTATGATGTTATTTTTTTTGGTGAATCTAGAGTATGTCATTATAAATAAAATCTTTTTTGCTTAACAGAATCATAAAGTAAATTTTCATGACATTTTAAAAAATTCCAATTCAGTAAAGTTTTAACTCTGTTTGTTAATGATTAATGTACATCCATGAGCGAATAATGTCGTTTTTTGTTTATCATCCATGAACAACTTTTAATTTTTTTCAAATGCAGAACTATTTTTCAATTAAAATTATTATTAATTTTAACTTCTCTCAAACACAGAGTAAATATTACAATTGTTGTTTACATGATTCTAAGATTAATCTCCTTTTTCTCGTTGATGAAACTACCTAACTAATTGATTCGTTTAGGTTTTATCATTCTGTGATGACAAACTCATATGTCCCGATAAATAGCAATAAATCAGATATACTATATGTTGATGAATGGTCATCCCAACAAAAACTCGTTTTTATTCGAGAAAAATTAGTCGAATGCTACTTTTTTTATTTGTTATAGATTAAGATTTGTCATCCTAGAAGTGTAAGCATATGGCGTAACAATAAATATAATTATTTTACGATGAAACTGTTACCTTAGTATAGTAAAAAGGGTATCAATTTTTTTGATTACCAAATATTTTTTAAGCAAACGACAACAATATTTTTCTTCTGTTGTTTGTATTATTGAAACGAAAGCTAGACAAAATGTTTCAAATTGCCTCAACAGTTAGTATCATGTCATGAAAATTATTAATGCAGCGTCAAAACGAGTTTTAATTAAAATAGACCATTTTTCGAAAATTAAATCAAATCAACCACTATGCATAAAAAAAAAAAGATAGAAACAAAGTGTAGAATAAGTTATACTTTATATGGATTGTGAAGACTATTATTTCCAAATCGTTGACTCTATGCTGTGTGTATATGATATAAAGTATATTTTGTATACTGCTCTTTATTTCACTTCTTTTCAAAGAAAGTTACAACGATTACTGAATCTTTTCGGCTAGATTTTTAGAACTATAAGGAGAGAGATAAGACAAATAGGATATGTTGAAAAAATAATTTAAGTTTTATAGAATTATTAACGAAGAATGAATAAAATAAAGCAATTCGATCGAACGGACAACAACAATGGATGTAGTATAGCGCGTATCGGGAGCTAAAGACGCACGGTTTTCGTCATTCGAAAGAGAAATAAAATAAACGAAGAAATAAAAATGTAAGATACATGCTTGCTAATCAAAAGTATCTTGTTTTTGGTGATCATTTTTATCTAAAACTATTTGATGATCAAAAGTACATTTATTCTAGTAAAAATACACTGCTTGTTCCATATAAGTAATGTCAAAGTGCCGTCTCCTCTACCCCCTCCACATTAATGGATTTTTTTTTACTGTCGATAGAATATCAAAGAAAATTCTATATTAGTCGTTCGTTGAGTTAATAAAGAGGATAATAAACGGAGCATAAAAGTTAGTAATGTCATTTTCTGTCAGTACAGATCAAGTAACAATCGAGAGACTTAATCTCAGTGAGATAGAGGAAGCGCGAGAAGAGTTTTATTAATTTTTGAAGAAAACATCTGTCCGAAAGACATCAGCGCGGAAGGACGTGTTTCAAAAGCATACATTAATGATTCTATAATGATTAACAATTGTCATCCGAAAACTTGACAAACGGTTTTTTACTTTATATTGTAGATATCTCTTCTTTTTTTTTCTGGCAGTTTGAGAATTCATTCATTACCTTTTTGATAATGATTACATAGACATTCTTGTCATATCAATACAACTATTGACACTTGACATTTTACACTATTCTTTAGGGTTTCTACAGTCTACATTTTCAATATCTATCTCTAAATCGTCTGTTTTGGTAAAAATAACATAAGTCCCAATAGATTGACTATTTCTAGATACAACAATCAAGTTTGTGATTTTACAAAAAACATGATCAATCAACATTATAAACATGAATAGAAGTGCAATGTAGCCAAGGATAAATGTATTTTTCGTTGATAAAAACTCTCAGCTAAACAGGACCACATTAATACTATCAGATATCATACCAGAAAATTCTTTCAATCAATAAATCAAAAATAATCAAAATTTAGTATAATTTCTTTCTATCTATCTTTGATGTTAGACTTTATAAATACAAATATGTTTTCTCTATATTCATTTACCGTGCCTGGAAGCGTAAGATATAACATTTTCATTTGATTAATGTCTACTATCGATCATTAAGGATTATTTGAGATAAAACAACCAGTACATATCAGATATATATATATATATACTACACTGATATTAGAAAAAGGTAAAAAGGTTTAAAAACTGAAGAAAGTATTTTGATCACACTAGTATTATGTTAAAGCGAGATAATTACTTTTAGATCAATTATGTTTAGTTGGGTTGAGTGTTAAATGCAAAAAGTTCCATTTTTCTAATATTTTAATGGGCAATGATACGTATCAAACGATATTCAGTAAACGGAAGACTATTTTATTCAAAGCCTTACTTATTACTATCACTAAAATGCAGGTCATTCAGATATGGTAAATTATCTTTGACGAATATGATTTATTACTGAAATCTTTTTACTATATGACCTAAAGACGTTACAACGAACTCTAAAACTATTCCATATATATTTATCTATCAATACATGACTTTGTATTTATGATATAGTTCGTTTGTTGCTTGAGCGGTGATATATTATTGTTATTTCGTTTCTATTTAATAACATTTGGTCTTTTCAGTATATGTCTTACTTACTTTCAACTGTTGTATAAAAAACAGAAAAAACCATAATGACAGTAGTAGAAATGTAAAATCGGACACACGACATGGGTAGTAATATGTTGAGTATTATTTTCAAACACACATCAGACGATAACACAAATGAAGCCATGAAAAAAAAAATGTAAAAAAAACAAAAAGAGAAATATATAGATGGCTATGATAGCGAGCGAAACAAAAAAAAACTAAATCATCATCAATACTAAGAAACAGCCCATTTTTTTTCATACAAAAAGGAGAGAGAAATGAACGAGATATTGCGAGCTTTCACTTGATTAATTCAAACGAAAATAGCGACAATGTTCGATATAAGTGCTTCCATAATACTAACGATAATAGAAAAATGATATACAAAAATCAAAAAAGACTAGGACTGTTCATAAATATATTAAGATTTGGCTTTATTTTTAGAACGATAAAAGAAATTAATAACGACGAAAAGTTGATATTGTAGGTCCACTTGTAGTCGAATTTCCACTATTTGCACCATCACTACCACTACCTCGTCTTGGATTATTGTCCGGTGGTTTCTTGCTAAAATTAAGACACAAAACGAGATCATCAAAACATTTCAAATCCAAAGAGAAGTCTCATGTTTAGTTATGTTGAGTTAGTTTTAACACTCTTTTTAAAAAAAAACGAGAGGATTATAAAACCATGCAAGTAATATAGTATCTGTTGAAAATTATTTCATCCTTTAAAATTATATAAAAACTCTGAGAATAATACCTCAAAAACAAATGTTGCTGTATAGACAATGTGCAAAACAAAAAATACATTCTGATGCGACATAGCAGACACAGCATAAGAGAAAATTAAAATAACAAACTAACAGCATAACATCACAAGCGCTACACGACGTTAAATCTAATTAGTTCTAATTCACAAAAGCTGGGAGACATATACATCAATTACGAATTCTCCAGGCATTATTTAAGGCTTCTCCCGCTCAGAAACCGATTTTTACCACAGAATTTACGATCTTAAGGAAAATTTCGGTAAATACTGCTCATATCAAGATTAGATTACAGAAAAATTTTCAGCTATATATCTCTTGTTTTCCCAGAGTTATCCGTAAAACACTGGTCAAAAAGTAAACGTCGGCATTTCCCAGATTTCTCTGTCATTTTAGGTGCTAAACTGTTGGTCTTGAAATGTAGTTAAGAGTTGACACTACCACTTAGCAGAGCCGGATTATCGATTTTTGACTTGATTTCTAAGAAAAGAAAGTTTCCGAAAACTAGATATTTTTTCCCAAACTTTTATAGAGTTCCCGGAAACTTTCTTTTTCTTAGAAATCAAGTCAAAAATCAATAATCCGGCTCTACTAAGTGATAGTGTCAACTCTTAACTACATTTCAAGACCAATACGAAGAATTTAGCACTTAAAATGACAGAGAAATCTGATATCTACTTTAAAAACAAGTGTTTTTGAGAAAAAAGCAAACAAGTTAAGACTTACGAGGGAGGATCACTTGCGAGCTGTCAGATCACTTTTTCAGCCAAACCTAATGGATTGTAGATTATCAACTATGTTGAATCCCAATATCATAGTGGTAGCTGCACAGGGGCCGTCAGAGAGCGGTTTTTTTGGAAAACCAGTTTTTCAGAAACTATAAAAAGTAACCAAAGCCTTTCTTGATGAGTCATGATTGTAACCCGAAAATTTTTGATTAAAATGAGACGTCTCCCAGATCTACACAACCTTTCTTTGCAAAGTTATAGAATTTACAAGAAAAGCTCTGAATGTTCATTGGCAGCTCAAAGCTACAGCAATAAGAAATTAATTTATGACTTTTCTTGTGAATTCTATAACTTTGCAAAGAAAGGTCGTTGAGAGTTGGGAGACGTCTCATTTTAAGTACAAATTTGCGGGCTACAATTATAACTCATTAAGAAAGGCTTTGATTAGAGTTTCTGAAAAACTGGTTTTCCAAAAAAACCGCTCTCTGACGGCTCCTGTACAACTACCACTATGATATTGGGGTTCAGCATAGTTGATAATCTATAGTCTACTAGGTTTGGCTGAAAAAGCGATCTGACAGTTCGCGCGGTCCCTCGTTAGTTTTCGCGACCAAGATAACCGATTGACGGACGCTAGGTAAGAGTAGTTTAGTACATGTTGTGGATTACGCTGAATTGAATGAGCATGCGCAAAGACATGTGTGTAGCATATTCGTCGGCATATTCATGCACTACTCTGATGCTATAAGCAGATTTTTGTACAAAAAAAAAAGCTGTTTTTTGAGCATGGTGTCTTTAGAAAAATCAATTGCTGAGGCTATAAAATATAGTTCATTCGAAAGCTGACACTTTGGGCTATTCAATAATGTATAAATCTCAAAATCGACAATATTTTTTGTGGGAGAGCCTTAATGCGAATGCACGACTGTCAATCCTTTTGCTTACGAAGAAACTGTGACGTAAGTTATGTTTCTTTGTTGCAATGATGAAAGTTACTGAAACATCGTCAGTCTGAAGCAAATTTAGAGCATTATATACTTAAAGCAAAAAAAGCAACGCTTACACAAATTCAGTACACAAAGGTCAGAATAAGCCATATCTCAACCTATTTAGCGTAGATCTATAGTGTGTATGCTTTGTTTATCCTTGAAATAAATCACAATTAGCCTAAATTTATGAAGCATGTGTAAAATTTTGTGTTTCTTTTAATGGTTTCTAACCTTTGGATAGACCGATGAACGAACGTCATTATTCATAGAATAGATAAACGAAAAAAGTATAAACTCCAATTAAAAATATAATAATAGAAAATTTAATAGTACATTGACATATTTTTACGAGATACACGTGATTTATATTTAAAATTGGACATATCCCATCGTAATTAGAAAGACAATAACTACAATGAGAGATACAGTACAAATGATAAACGAAATTGTACTCTTTATAAGACATATACAGCTCCGCAAAGAAAATTCTAGTATAAATGGTTCGAAAACAACCAAATGTCGAAATTTTCTTTCTTTAAAGATACAATGAAATTAAAAACTAGATAAATAATGTTCTACTTTTGTTTTAGTTTTCTATCCCACCGACTACAAAAAGGCTAAAATAATTAGTTTTAAACAGCTGAAGTGTAGACCCCAAAAATTCTACAATAAAGCATTAGAGAGCAATTTCAAAACACACACAACTGATTGATTTACCTGTTATCATGTGGTTCAAATCTCATTGTACGAGATTTGCCTAATGCCTAAAAAAGCAGATTGGATAACACACACACACACGCATACAACATCACATGCGAGGTATAGTCGATAGAATAAACATAAAGCGTATGTAGATATGTAAGCACGCTTAATTTTGTGTGAGACCCGATGATCAAGCGTCTAAGTATATTATATGTGGTATGCACCCTGTTTATCTTAAACTTTTTTACGTACCGAATGATGTCCTTTTCGTTCTTTCATTTGAGCATATAGAGCAACTAAAATATCTTTACGATTTTTAGATGTTGCTATACTAATTGCAGTTGCACCATCCTAAGATTTTAAAAGAATAAATAGAGAATCTACTCTTCATCTTCTGGCTGTATACTTACATTATCAGCAATATTTACATCACATTCTGGCCTTGTTAATAATAATTTGACAATATCAAATAGTTCATATTCAACGGCACACATTAGTGCTGTACTACCATCAGAATCTTGTAGATTAACAGCTGCGGAATTTTCTAATAATAATTCAACTAATTCTGGTTTGTCATGTTTAACGGCTAACATTAATGCTGTTTGATTACTCTGTAAAAATTTGATTAGTGAAAATAGGATCGGATAGCCATTAATTTAAGTAACATACCGATGTTTTGACATTAACATTTCCAGATTCTTTGAATAACCGTCTTACCACACTTCGTTGTTCTTCATTATCGATTTTAATAACGGCAGCCATCATAACAGCTAAAAATAATGGTAGAAATAGTATTCAAATTTGATCTGAACTTCTGTCACTGACCTGTATAACCAGCATTATTCTGAAGGCAAACATCGCACACTTTTGTGTCGAGTAGTAAATTAACAACAGCCCAATTTCCGTTTGTTACACAATAGTGTAGAGCTGTATTACCCTGAAAAAAATAAATATCAGTCGTAAATAGACACTGTTCTTCTAGTATGTTACTCACATTCGCATCTTGCATATTAACAATACGTTCTAATAAGAAATTTGAAAAATTGTCTTTAAAACTATTTAAATAATCTTCGACTAATTGTACATTCACGTTTTTTTGACTTGATACTCGAAACCAATCTTGCTGAATTAATTTTAGACAATTTTGCTAAAAATCACCAACATAAGCGTATAGCGTGGGTATAGTGTAGCATACCTAATATATATTATCTTACCACTTTTTGCTTATCAGCATTTTTATCGTATAACGATTCGTTAACAATGGCGCATGCTATGTACATTTCCTCATCTAATTCAAACCTTAAAACGGAAAAAATATAAAGTATTACTGTGAATGTAGTGTACAATTTTTTATGAAGAGGCCTAATGGTATCATATTCCTAGTAAACAAAAGAGGTAATTCCTAGCATTCATTGTATATCTGTTTTATTTTTGCCTTTCGGACTGGATCTATCAGGATACCCATCGTAAAAAAAGTTATTCTTCTGTTTTTAAAATGTATTGGTTACACCTATACAGTATAAGCGACATTATACCTCATCATGAATATCGATGTTATATTCTAGTCTCACGCTACGTCGTATTATTATTACTTTTCCGGTATATGCTTTACAAATTTTGTGTATAAAGAAAATGAATGTCGGGAGGCAACTTTCATAAAACAGTTATTATTCTTATATCTAGGTTTTTTACGAGCGTGAACGACACAATGAAACAAAATAATAATGAAAAAACTCTAAAAAAAGGAAGTTTTGAATCCTTTTCTTTGAGGGCTTTTCTTTGAATATCATCGTCAATTTCAATAAAATTAATTTATTTAGTTGAAGCGATGGCTAATTTCAATGGAAAACACTTCAGAAATTTTTAGGCACGAGGGAAACATCCCGAGTACGTGCTGTGCTGTATAAGAAAATGGAAAACGTTCCATGTTCCACCTTTTTTAATGCCACACAGTTTTCGATGGTTAATTCATGATGATGGTTATAAACTTAATATTTGTTCCATTTCATACACTGTCCGTGTAGTGGTACTGAAAGTTAAACTTTCCAGTAACTCAAACTCACGTTTGAAGAATCAGATGATGCCAGTTTATAGAGAACATTGAACTACGTATATTATTAAGTGATATAATAAACGTTTGTTTTATTTTGTAATTCTATATTTTCATATTTTATAATCAGCTTGCATCTCATATATTTTTCTATTTAAAGCTTTCATCATTCGGACAATACTTATCTTATAGTATTAGAAATTTAGGCACTTTTAGGAACTTTTTTTATTAGTACTTACCCTTCTTGTCCTTCAGATGCCGTTTGTAAATTAGTCGTTTCCGCTCTCGCAGATGGGGAAATTATTGATGACATCATTTGTTCAGCGCCCTCATTCGAAGTAATAATAATCGATCGTTCTTTTTGGCGTTGTTGCTGCTGCCTTCTACTAGAGCTCTGATAATCATCGTCGTCTTCTTCTGGTGTTCCATAATCCTCTCTATTTGGCGATATTTCTTTAATTCCACTTTCATTATACGATGCCATGACAACATTGTATTTCTCGTCATTTTCCTTTTCTGTCTCGGGTAAATAGGACGCAGTCGATGATGATGCATCGAGTGTACGAAAACCTGATGAGCCTGCAGATGTCACAGCTGGACTACCACTACCGTAAGTTTTTCGTGATTCATAATCTTTGACCGTGTAGGACATTGTTGGACTAATTTGAGATTCTTCAACTTGTCCTTTAACTTGAAAACCACCACGAGGACTCATCGACTCACCGGTATATTGTTTGTCTCCTGTTTTAGTAAATGTGACTGAACTTTCTCTAGAAAATATTGGAAAAGAATTATATATGGAAAAAGAGAAAATGAAGAACATACCCTGAACGTTTTTGTGATTTTTCATTATTAGATTTGCTTGTTTTCAATATTCCTTCTGGAGATCGTTCTTCAGCATCAACACTGTAACGATGATGCCCACCTCTAAACAAGAAAGTTAACTTTATTAAACTATTCTTACAATATTTTCAGATATGTTCTTGCCTGTCGATGACTGTTTTAACGGTTTGTCCATCTTGTTTTCGTTTTGCTTCTGTTACGGTCCATTCTTCATAAAATGAACTATCATCTTCACTCGATGGTGGTTTTGTATCTGGTTTGTCTGTTGTTGCTGCCGTTATACTGCTGGTCGTTCGATTTATAGTATCTGAACCCGTATTTACTGTTGTATAATATGTACCTCTTTCACTATCGAAAGACGAAAGAGCTGATGATGTTGTTGTAAAATTAGTCGGAGGTTTCGTTATAGTTTGTACAATTTCATAAGATTCTTCAACTAAATCTTCTGGTGAATTTGATCTTCTCCCGGTAGATGTTTGTTGTTGCCTGGAAGAAGGTATTATCGTTGAAACACCAAGTGGCCTACTCCATTCACTATATTCAGACTTAACGCTCGTCATACCAGGCTCATAAATTGTTACATTACTCTGAGTTTGTTTTTGATGCCGCCGAGTTTCTTCCTCTTGTCTCTGTTGTTGTTTTTGTTTAATCATCAAGTCTTCCATTTGTCTTCTTCTTGTTTCCGTAGTTGTGGTCAAAATTTGTTCATACATTTCTTCTGTTAAGTCTTCTTTATGTACAGGTCGTTCTTCAACAAAATACAAATGATCTTTTCCTGGTATTCTAAATGTGATAATTTCTTGTCGCTGCTCTTCTACAGTATCTTCGGAAGATGCTGGACTCATTCGTCTAATGCGTTCAATGTAGCCAATATCACGTTTTGTGTCGTACAAATCGGTCATCAATGATCTTTCAGATGTTCGCTGTGTATCCGATTGTGTGCCAAATGTTCTTGATGATAAATCGTGTAATGATCGTCGAATGGGCTCCACGCCTAATAACCTGTTCCATGTAATCTCTTCCGTATAGCGACTTTCTTGCTCATTTTCTTTAATTCTCACATCAAAATCGCCTACATCTTTTGAATACATGATTTTTGGTTCAGTATTGATGCCCAAATCTTTTGAAGGACGCGCTTCTGTTAGCGTACTACGATCGGTAGAACGTTTTAGGTCTGTGTTAGAGAGAGCATGACGATAGTGACCTAATTGATGAAATATGTCTAATTCAGTATTTGTTTGGGCTTGTTTCACCGGGTGAACTTCTTGAACACACTAAAAAAGTAAAAAAATGGGAAATTTAATGCTAAGGAAGAATCATAGGTTTCTAGAAAAGAACAAAAGTTTATTTTCATCTGAGGAGTATGTGTGAAGTTGGAGTTGACTCGAATCTGCGAAAAAAGATTAGAGCATAGAAAGGTTTGTGAATTTCACTATTAAGTTTACGACCACAGGTGGGTATATTAATGAACAGTTCATCATGCATCTACAGCTCCGAAAAGAGATTATCCATGTAGCCTCAGAGGAGCAAACTAAAAAGAAGTGAACGATACAAGCTCTTTTGTTACGCGCAGACAAAAAGTTTATACCAGAAAGTACAGTTACTGTGTACTTTTTTATAGAAATTATCTGAGGAGCTCAGAGATGGAGGATCATGTGTCTCTCTGTTTAGTTGAAATTAGGGAAAAAATAATTTGCTCTGTTGTCTGCTTTTCATGTCTAGCAATCTGATTATAGTCGTCATTATATTTTCTTAACCCCACCCCAGTCAAAAATACGAAATTTTTCCAAAAAATGGAATAGTTCAAGGTGTTTACTATGCGACTTCATGAAAGAGAGACATTCATCAAAGGTTCTTGAGTGATTTTGAGAAAGTTTTTTGAAAGCCTTAGAAAACTGATTTTTTCAAACTTTGCTTTGGATAAAAAACGTAAGCCAAGATCTTTTTTGATGATACTAGATTACAGACCGAACATTTCTGAGCAAAGTGAGACGCCTCCTAGCGCCAGACAACGTTTCAGCCAAGTTGTAACAGTTGTACGAAAAGGTAAACACAACCGTCATACCCTGACACTAGCATATCTCCTTTTCGTTTGGCAGACGGCACCGTTTACTAAATTTCTCAGCTATTTTAAAAGCTGGAGAGCTCGGATTGGTCTTACACTGAAGCCAACAGTCATAGAAATAATGTAACAAAAATGCAGTTTTGATTTAAACTGTCATTGTTTTATATTGTTGAAAATTATGCACCAGCTGTTTCGCTTTTTCGAACTTTTAAGATAAAATCCTTCAGAAAATGACACAAAGAAAAAATTAAAAATCCGTTTCTTTTACGTTAATACTCTGACTTAATTTAATATTTAAAACCAGCTCAGCTCTCCAGCTACTTTCAGAGAGGAGAAATTCGTCGGACGATAAATGCCTCATTTTGATCCATGTTCGGGCGACGTCTCTTAAGCCGTGATAGATGGAGTCTCAAAAATTATACTGTAACTATTACTCAACATGCCCAACAGTCTCTGAAATTTTCGCTTAGACCAGACTTGTGGTTGTCGAAATAGATGTGAGCCTAGAGCTGGAACCGGTATACCAGTTCTCTTTCTTCTTACCGGTTTCAGTTCTGAGGGCGTTAACGGAAGTATTATTCTCAACTGTGACTTTGTCTAAGTGTTCGATACATACTTGTACACCTGTATTCTGTTGTTCTAGTATGTTTGTATTTACGGATATATCATGATATTGGATCATCGATCTTGTATCACATCCAAAGTCTTTGAAAAGATCTTTTGATGGTGAAGTTGTTGCCGAAAAATTATCGCGTGTCAATATCAACGTTCGTGTATCTGTTGAAACAGTTCTGCTTAACAATTCAGGTGGTATGTCGCTTCCTGTCGCTTGCTCGCGTTGTTGTAAAAGTGATAGAGTATCGGTCGAACGATCATTCCAACGTTTCGTGTCCGACGATCCCGTAGCGGTATCTTTATACGAGATTAATGTACGGGTATCTGTAGAAGCCGGCCTCATCGACGGTTTTGCTGGCGGTTTTGGCGGTTCAATAGTATTAGCAAAACAACCAAATTCTTTTGTTTGAATTTGTTGAGTATTCGATGATTTATCATTCATCAACTTTTGTTCCGGTTGTATCATAACAGCAACATCTCGCTGTTTTATTTCCGGTTTATAATCAAAGTTGACGTGTGTGGCGACATCTCGGTAGTGGATATCTGGCTGAAGATTAAGTTGAACACCAATAGATACATCTCGAACAGTAGGCTTTTGTTCCTTTGGTTCATTCACTTCAATCCAAACATCACGTTGTTGAATAAAGTCATTTAGATTACATTGAAGATTTACATCTCGTTTGTAGATGACTTCTTCTTTAACATCGTCGATTAAATGGCACGTTAATGCAACATCACGGACTATGGCAGAAAAGATAAATTTCAAATATCATCTGAGAAAAGTAGCTGACCCCCTAAAGGTCAACAACGGTCTTTTCTGAACAATGAATTTTTCCGACTAACGCATTGCTCGAGTTCACAAACCCTAGCTTTTGATTTAATTTCCTTGTTACTAGATCGTTATAAGGCTAACGTGAAAACATGTAATAAACACTACGAAAAGGTCCCGTGTAACCTTCTTTCATGTTAAATACACAACAGCATAGACAAGGCAATTAGTTAGAAGAAGGTTGCATTTATTTTGTTGTAAGGTCTTCTTTCTTACCTGAACGAAATGTATCGGTAACAAGTGCTCTATCCGTCATCAACGGTTGACATTGCATACTAACATGTCTCTGTGATTTTGGTTCATTTAGAAGTTCAATTTCTCGTTCTTGTTCATAGATTTTATCTTCAAGTATATGAATTCTCTCGGTATAATAATTCTTAATGTCCTCTAATTTTCGTTTAATAATATCAGCTTGTTCACGTTCATTATCTTCACCAAAATCATATTCTTCTGTAATATGACTAATCGCCACATCTCTCTGTTGTTGATATTGTTTTGGTGGTAACGGTGGTGGATGATCAATGAGATAAACTTCTTTTGGTTCTTCAACAACATGCATCATGGCCACTTCTCTGGTCGATGGTTTTTGATGAAGTTGTTGTTGTTGAATAATTTCTTCTAAGCGTGTTTCTAGACGATGTAAATGTTCTTCTGATTCTGATTCTTTACCTTCACGCGTAATTAATGTTTCAGGTGACTTAACATCAATTGACAATGTATACTTTTTATTATCATGACTAGTCGTAGAAATTGTTTTTGTCGCCGGTTTATGTTTATAACGTTCGATTTCTTTTAATAATAAATCCTTTTCTTTCAAAAGTGTATAACGTTCTTGTTCTAAACGATCAATTTCACGATTTCGTCTTTCAATTTCCGATTTATCCGAAATGGTGATGATGGTGGTTGTCTGTTGAACAGGCTCTAAACGAATCGGTTTTGATGGAACGGTTACTTCTGTTATGTACAACGGTTTTAGTGGTTCTCGATGATCATCGGGTTCAGGACTCGAGACACGCAAAGTTGTTTCTGTCGATAGAGAACTCGAACTAGATGAGCGCGAAAATGGGGGTGGTGGTATTTTGTACAACATGGTAATTGGGCCACCTGATGAATTAATAACTTCAAACTTTTTTATATGATCATCGCGATAAGTTGATAGACCAGGCGTGGATAATGTTCGAGTGGTAATAGTTTTTTCCGTTTGCATTCTATGTTCGTACAATCTATGTTCTTCTTCTGTTCGTGATCGATCATAAACATTGTGCGTCGATAATGTGTGTTTTGGTGAATGAGTTTGTCGTATGACACGTTGTCGACGTGGGTATCTTGAATCAACTGATCGTGAACGATGATGGGAAGAGGAGGATGTCTGATGTTGTTGTGTTCGTCTTCCTGCACAGCATGGACCATTCGGTGTACATCGACCTGATGAATGTTGTTGATGCCGACATTGCGCTTCTAGTTCTTTAATATCTTTCTCAACGATTCTATCCAACTCGAGTAATGTTTCACGTAATAATTCTTGATCAAATACACGCTCACACGATGTGGAACGATACTGTTGATGATGTTGAACCGGTGGTCGAGTATTCAGATTTTGGGTTGGCTGAAATTACAAAAAAAATTCGATTAATCGCATGTTCAAGCACCAGTCTCCTTTTTACTCCCAATAAACTCCATTTATTATGAGAGAGAGAGAGAGAGAGAGAGAGAGAGATTCGCACTATGTAATAGTGTGTCATCTACTTTCCAACTCGAAACGGAGAAGAAACCGAACATCTTAAGCTAATAATCAACAACGATTTGCTCTATTGAAAGTAAAAAGAATATTGAAGTTTTTGTTTTTGTTATCTACGGATGATGACAAGAAAATCGTGCAGAACGATATAATTACTTAATGGATACCTTTTATAAAATCTGTCTAACATGATTAAGTACTTACAGTATCAGTTAAAATAACTGTGCAAGGAAAAGACTGTAGAAGATTAGCTGATAGATAATCTTCGTGTAAAAGCATACTGAGTGATATTCAATAATTAATTAATTATTTGAAAGTCTATCACATAATCATGAAAGAAAACATAACTGTTCCAAAATGTATACTAGGTAGTCTAGTAGTATGAACGACATATGTGTACATGTACAGAAATTGAATTTATTCGAAAACTTTTAATAATAGCCTTGATATATTTGTGATGCATGCATAAATTACGATTATGTGTTTAACAATAGGCCTAGATACACATATATAGACAAACGTCACCACACGCCTAAAAAGATTTTACTATCCATAAAATTTGATTTTTAACCATGAATTAGAAAACTGACATTAATAACTATAATTAACTGTCTGTAAAAGAAAACTTTCCGCTAAATTTTTTTAAAAAATAAAAAAGTGACATAATGAACTCTGATTAAGGTCATAGTAAACAATATAAGTTCAAGGAATATCATTTGTATTTTTTCAAATAATTTTCTGTATATTCTTGAAGTACGACAAATAAAAAACTCTTTCCTATGAAAAAAATAACTTTAATTATGGGAGTTTCGACAACTGGAGAAAGGCTGACATATTTGCATCTACGAATCAACATGAAGATTATGAATTATTTTTCAAATTTAAAAGACGGAACATCACGTATGTCTACTTGATTGCTCTTCATCTTTTTTCTTCATTCTCTATTCTGACTCTGCGTGTCAAATATTCTCTTTGAATGATAGGATGAGAACACAAATGATTTAGATTTCGACTTAGTCACTCTTTTTCTTTAGCGTTAAGTAAGTCTATGTTTCATTTTTTATTACAAATCATTTTTATTCTCTCATCATTCGAGCATAATCTCTCATTAACTTATTCATAGAACATGTTTGTTTAAAAATGACAGAGGATTATAAAACAGAATTAGGATGCAAAAGAATAGAAAAGAAAACATCGACCATCATGGCAATAGATGAATATTATTACTTGTTCGGATATACCAACACTGTCGCTTTTAAGCTATTATTATTCGCTTAAATTGTGATAAATATTTTTTTGAACACAAAATTAATTGTATATTATCCTTTTTATTTCAGATCCAGATACCTTTTAAACTTTTAATGAGAAAGAATATCAGTGATGAAAAAGATAAATTTCGAAAAATGATTATGAAAGTGACAAAAAGTTCTTGCCATAATATAAACTACTCAAACAAACTTTAATAATGACACAGAATTGTTTATGACTTTATTGTTTCGAAAAATCCACTTTATTTTTTAGTCTATTTTTCACCAAAACAATGTGTTACGTCTGTGGGGAAAGAAAGACAATAAACTATGAAAGTTTGAAATATGATGAATATTGTTCTATTTTGCTGTTTATTATTTATAGTTTTACATTTTAAGAGCACAACTTTTAAGACGATAATGTGTGTTCTTTGATCTTACTGTATCTATATCGAGAAAACTTACATATAGATGCAGACAATTATAAATAAACAATGTTATAAAGTAAAATATTATAACTGTGCTTAATAAGAAGAAAATATGTATCATAGGGAGTAAATAACAGAAACAAAAATAAGTATGATCGAATTAGATATTTAGATAATGAACAGAGTAAATTATTGAAATGAACGCTGCAAACTAGCTCACAACAAACATGTGCAAAAAAATTTATACTATCTCAACGTACATCATGTATCATCTGTAAGAAATATGTACGTTAAGAACAAGGACTATATATATAATGAGAGCAAGAAAATACATAATCTATGTGGCATAAATAGCATTATAAAAAGATGAAGAAGGCAAGATACCTGAGAATATTTTGCCCCTAAGCAAGGATTATCTCTCACGAGGTTGATCATTGATTTAACTCTGGAAAATCTCCAATATTCACAGACTAATCTGGCCTTTTTATTTTCTAATGTAATCATTTATTAGCTAACGTGCACCATAGAGAAATATATACATAATCTAAACGATTAATTTAACCTTTAACAGCTTATATCAATCAAAAAAGGAGAAGAATAAAAAAATGTCTGTTGTTAATAGTATATCTTAGTTATTGACACTTACTTGTTGTCCATTAATTAAGCGTCGGCGTACATCATGTCGTTTTCTTTCAATTTTTTTTAGTGTTCGAAGAACATCCGGTCCATACATATCATCTAAGAATTTCATAAAATCGGTGTCTAAATGGTAACCATATGGACAACAATTACAACGGAAATCCGTCATAGTTGTATCCAGGTCACTGACACCAGATTCCGATGTTGTTTCTAAATAAAAGAGAAAAGAGAAACAATTAATTAATCATTAGATTTAATGAAAAAAATTAGCACACACCATTGTTAGTATATCTTTACTTCCTTTAAAAATATCGTATTAAATAATTCAAACTTTTATTTGTTGTTAGAATAGAATAAGTATGTCCAACATTCTTCATTTCATTCTAAAAGATTTTATTTTTCTGAAATTTCTTCTTCATTTCACTTTTAACAAGAAAGGATTAACAATTAAAAAATAGCTAGTTGATTTTGGTTTTTTTATATCTTCTGTCATATAACCACAAGATTTTTGATATTTGTACTCGTCATGTATGTTTTATTAGAAAATTTTCAATTTTTACGCACACTCACACATGTTAAATTAATTTTCAGCATATTTAGTGATTATTTCATTTCTTATGACAGAAGACATTTCATTCATCAACGATATTTTATCAAAATAGTAAAAAAAAAAAACAGCATATTTTTTCCAAGCACTTTTCTTTGCAAAGATATTTGCATGGTTTTTTTTCTTCTTCTCTTCTTTATTCGCATAATCAGACGAAAAGAAAAACATCGCAGGTATACAAATGCAGTTTTCTTTTGTTGTTAACATGTCGATAAAAAAGGTGTGTTCGTAAGATTATTTCAACTATATAAATCTTATCAAATACATTTTCCATAAAAAAAAAGAAAATAGTAAAAGCTTTTCAGATAAAAAAAGAATTGTCTACAAAAAAAAAATTCTTAAGAATAAAACTAGATTTTAAGCAATCAAAGAGACTCAAGGTTGATAAAAATGTTTTTGTTCAGAAAAAAGATTTGCCTATTCATAATAGACACATGTCTAAATAGAAAAGAAGTAGTACTCATCTGGTAATTTAACACTAATTTTGTAATCATTATTTATTCTTACATTAACAATCATTCTTTTCATTTTAGATAATAACAAGATCTAGGAAGATCAGTCCCTGTCTCGCTGAAATGATTGCTTTTCTGGAGTAGGAGAAATTTTTCAACTGTAAAGACAAAACTAAACTGCAAACAACAGAGAAAGTAACGTTTATCTGAACCGAATAACATTCTAATAATTTATAGTAAAGTGCGGATACAAACATGCATCACAGAGAATCAGTTTTACGTGATGATGAATCATACACCATAAAAATCGCTGCTTATTGAGAATTGTTTTAATTATCGTTTATGAGCATATGAGTCATATCATAAATAGAATACATAGATATAATACAAAAAAGGCACTGTTTTCAAAATATCTACCAAACCATAGATCAGATAAATTTTCGTCTGCAGAAAGAGAACATCTACATAATATAACAAACATAAAGTCTGAAGGAATCACATCGATCCGATGAACTGTTGATAGCAAAGTACTGTGAACAAAGTTATACATTTCTTGACTGTGGAATGTTTTTAAAAGATTGATTTTACTAAAATCATAATCGGATTCAAACTATAGCTAAATCTATAATAGCAATTGACAAATATCAATTAGATAATTTGATTGAAAAGGTTAAATATTTCTGTCTTACTTCTTAGTCTATGAAGTCGTCGATGAATTCTTTTAGTTAATATTATTTTCTCCATAACTGATCATTGTAGGTAGATACACTATGGTGTGATCTTTTTGTGAATAAAAATAAAACTAAGAAAAAATCTAAATTTTGTTTATTATATATGTTAAAGCAATAATAATATTGACAATAAACTAACGAGTTTAGAAAGACAATCACAATAACATCATCTCTTTTTTATATTTTGTATACAACAGCATCAGAAAAGGGCATGCTGGCGATGTGTTATATAGGCATAGAAATATTCTCTCTTTCTCTCATGTTATACGGTAGATGATTACTGTTAACTATCTTTATTCTTATGGATCTTATTCTCAAAGAAATAATTTTTTGTAGTACCATAGAGAAGAACAAAGAAAATAATTATTTACTGTACATATATTTAATTAACAATGTTTTTCCTGGAAAAAAAGTAATATTTGATCATATTTTAATACATATACATAAGTCTCTCTGAACACAGTGTAAATCGGTCGGAACTATTAGATTGACTACAAAACATCCATATATCAGCGGTTAATTCGGGATGGTTGTTCTATGTGATGACAGGTACTATTCAGATATTTATCAGTTTATGGAATGAATAATGATTTTTTTCATAGTATACCTTCCCATAGTTTAAATAAATATGTTATGATAAATCATATGACAAATTCAAGCAGTTATTAAGAAATATTGCTGTTCTGTTGAACTCATCATGATTTTCCATACTCAACGATGACAATGTTAAGTCTTAAACTCGCTAGTAACTGATAAAATTAATCAGTGTGATTGTAATCATGAGTGATAATACCACTGATTGATTTTCGGATACACTGTTAGTAATATAGTACTCTAGAGTAATACATTGATAATCTGCGTGATTGTCAAAAAACATGACAATTTAATACGATTAGTCAATTCCATTAACATGACTTCTTTTTGGGGCGGTTATTTGCTCAGATATACTGAAGATTTTCAGCTTGAGGCAAAATGACAACAATTACAGTTGTTTTAACAAAGATAACTCAATGACAAAGAAGAGAGAGAGAGAAAGAGAGAGAGAAAGAGAGAGAGAGAGAGGAGAGAAAGAGAGAGAGAGAGAGAGAGATGAAATTAGTGCGTATGCGTGTGTGTTTGAATGTTCTACGAATAATTTAGTGCATTGTCATCATTGCATAAAGATGTTATTTGTTGAATTTAGATAAATAAACAGAAGATAGCGTTCAGTAAAAAAGCAATCGATGATGGCATCACTCACACA